AGCCTATCAGGCGCGTCTGGCTGTTGCCGGGCTGTCATTCGTAAGAGCGAGGACTAAACAGCTTCCTGCCTCATTCCTTCAGGAACTTATCATTTCCCAATCTTACTCTTGGAAATCTGATTAACCTAGTCATTCAGCATGTCTGAAAGAGCATACAGGTAGTCCTTGACTTACAATTCATTTAGTGACTGGTACTGGAAAATTGACTTATGATCATTTTTTTATATAACTGCTGCAACATCCCCATGGTTACATTAACGCAGGACATAAAGCGAGATTTTGTCTGAGTGAACATGAAACGGGGTCAGACTAGAGGATCTCCTGGGGGACCATTTATCCCTTCTCTCTTGTTATATTTTTACTGAGTCGAAATAAAACAGGAAGTTTGAACTCAGGAAACTTGAATGTTAAACCACAACATCTGTGTAGATCAGGTCAGTTGGAGGTCTCGCTTGGGAGTCAAACGTTATAGCTTAACCACATGTCAGAATGGAACTAGTGTTTCCTGCATGCCAACTGCAGCCTAGACATGAAAGGGCAGCACAATATAATCTAGCCAATAGAAATGTTTTAAGATATTTCTGTGTTAGCTGTTCTGAGGAAGTTATAAGAACACACTTCTCCATAAAAACCTCGGTCAAACTTCAAATGTGGGTTTACACTGTCTGAGCCATTTGGCCAAATAAAGCTATTTCTTGATCTCAGTCCAAATCTCTTGATTTTCTGCAACAACATAATCAAAACTCAGACACTTAGCAACTATCTCATATTTATGACAGTTAGTGCCCTAGGATCATGTGATCACTTTGTCACCTGACATGCAGTCAATGGGGAAGGCAGATTTACTTAACAACCATGCTATTAACTTAATAACTGCAGTGATTCACTTAATAATTGTGGCAAGAAAAGTCATAAAATGGGGCAAAACTCATTTTAGAATGTCTAACTTTGCAAATAAATTTTGTGATTGTAACTGCATTCTGTTCTCTGTTCTCTGTTTCTGGACAGCAACATAATTTCTCCCAGCAGGAAAAAAAAAAGCAATTTAAATTACTTATTATTGTTGTTACACCAGAATGTCTCTTATGTATGGGACTGCATTTTAAGGGCACAAGACATAACCCATATACATATACGTACATATATACATACACATGCATATATAGGGTGACCAGACGTCCCGTATCTGGCGGGACAGGCATGACTTTTCATCATTTTTCCCACGTCCCGCCCGGTTCTCAAAAAACCCCGCTTGATTTTGGCGCTCGCTGGCTCCCCCGCCCATCATCAGCTGCCGCTAGCTCGCTCGTTCCGTTCCCCAATCTATTCTATCTACACTAAACATCTAAGCCAGCCCAGCTTGCCGCTCACTGATTGGCCTGGACTCCAGCCAATCAGTGAGCGGGCTGGGATGGAAAACTTTAGGCACGCACGAGGCATGCTTAAAATTTTCCATCCCAGCCAGCTCACTGATTGTCTGGAGTCCAGGCCAATCAGTGAGCGGCAGGCTGGGCTGGCTTAGATTTTTAGTGTAGATAGAATAGATAGGGGAACGGAACGAGCGAGCTAGCGGCAGCTGATGATGGGCGGGGGAGCCAGCGAGCGCCAAAATCAAGCGGGGTTTTTTGAGAACCGGGCGGGACGTGGGAAAAATGATGAAAAATTGTGCCTGTCCCGCCAGATGCGGGACGTCTGGTCACCCTACACATACAAGTTGT